TTAATGTATTACGTCTGTATTATTTATCTTAATTTTCTCTAAGTTCATGTTACGGTGGTTTTGAAACAAATGAAAAACTTATGACATAAAACGAGTAATACCAAATATCTTGATCTTTTTATTAACATTTTCTATACCTAATATATTGATAAAATAGTGTAGATAAAAAAATAATTATTACTTAACTTTATCTTTTACGTATAACTGAGACGTTATTTTTTGTTTGTGTTGAAACGCAAGACTACACGATGGGCTATCTACACCGTGCCCACCACGGATATAGAACCCAGATCTTTAGAGTATAGGCTCTCGAGCTTACCGCTGAGCCACTGGAAGGGAGAGTGAAACGTTATACAGTACACACTTGTAATAAGTAAACCTAATAATGTTTTTTGGCATAAGAACATAACACTTGTTTAACAGCGTTTTCAAGTAGTATCGATCAAAACAATGATATACGAAAGTATAAAATGATCAGTAAGGGGTAACAACCAAGTAAAACACCAGAACCGTTTAATATGCTTATATGCAAAGTTGTTTACATATGTATAGCTACAAAAAAGAAACCAAAGACTACAATGAAAACTTAAATTTTTATCACTAGGTGGTGCAACGTTTAAAAAAGTTTATAAAACTTTAACTTCATCTAAACCTTTATCATTTTTATTTGGTAAGGCTTGCTTGTCTCTTTTTTTTACACATATGTATACTTTCATATCACAAAAAGTTTCTAACGAAGCCATAGAGGGATCGCAAAATAATGAAAACTATCATTTTTTATGATCGGGGGTTGTTTTAGTCTATATATGAAAGTATGGTACTCATACATAATGTATTTTTATAAACATACACACAAAAAATACCAAGACCGAAAATACAAATATGACCACAAGTCTAAAAAAATATAACCGTTAATTTTCATAATTAGAGATAATCTTTGCTTGAATTGACAAAATTAGGCCCACTTATGAAGTATTGAAAGCTTAAAATATTAAGACAGAACAGACCTTAAGTGTCCACCAGTAAAATCAAGTAAAAGGTCCACTTACTTGTAACGGGCATTGGTTGGTGTTACACATTAAATTTATTATTTTACATACTTTTCAATCCCGATAAAAGATTATTAGACAAAACATATAACTAATGACTTACAATAAACAAAGTGAGACAGAGTAAAAATGTTTAAAACACCTACAATTGAGACTCGTTAGGACCAAAGGATACAGAGATTTACTACACATACATTCTTTCAAACAACGAAACCATTTAAAGAATACTCCGAAATGTATGCTGGGGCAACAAACAATACTCACCCAATAAAACACCTCGAACTACATTGACGCAATAAGCCATACTCAACAATATAAGATCTTGAAATACATTGACGCAATGAAGAATACTGATCACTGGCATACCTTGATATCGATGAGTGTAGAGTACAATGGTGTTCTGTTAGTTCTTTGATTGTTTCTGTTTTAAGATCTTTCTGATGTTTCTTGAGAAATTAGTTTTTTTTTCTCTGTGTTAGCGGTAGAGCAATATTTCTTATAGTAACCATTGTCAACTATAGAGTTTGGAGCTTGAAGAAATATTCGTCTTTTTCAATGGTTACAGTAGAATTTCCTTTGTGTGCTGGTAGCATTTTTATACGTTGCTTTTCTTCACATTTCGTAGTTTTTTATTATTATTATTCCGATATGATGGTGTAATAACGGCGTTGACGTTTCACGGTTTCTGGACAACTGACTTTTCGTTTATTCTGAACAAACTGTACTAAATAAAGGACTACACTTCTCCCAAACACATAACAAACCTAAGATATGGCTACAACCACAGAAGACACAATTTGCAGCCTACCAGAAGAATTCACCGGTACTCATTAACTTCTATGGGAAACGTTTCGAAGTTAACACCTTCAAAACAGCCTTTCTACGCCTCAAGATTTGGCTAAGATACATTAACGATACATTATTAATATGGACAAACATTAAAGACAAGATTAAAAAATCCAAGAACCATCTAAACAGACAACATCTCGCGACATAATTCATAATGGAAATTGAAAAGTATAGCAACGTGATGATTACCAAAACACATAACTCGTATACCACAGAAGTTTACAATAAACCAAAAGATACAAATAAATGTCTCGATTATAAATCAAACCACCGGTTGCTTAGGAACGAACAAGGTTTGTAACACCAAAGAAACTAAGAACAAGAAGGAAAACACATCACTAGAACAATCCTTAACTATAGATACCCTGAATACTTCACAAATAAGAAGTTAAAGTTTAATTCCAAGAATAAACGGGAATAAAATTAAAGACATACATCTATATTCTCCCACTTCAGAGGTCTCTCAGTAAACATACTAAATAGATGTAAACAGCATAAATTTGAACAGTATTTAGAAGCCATAATATATTAAGATCACAGTGAATACACACTAAACCACCAATGGAGAGGAAAAACACCAATTTTAACATGTGTGAATGTGGATTCCGATACATTGAAAAATAACAAAAAGAAAGACCAACAAAAGTTAGAATTCAGGAACGTAATATGTATACAAGATTCAGTACTACCGAACTCTGTGTTAGCCTATCATACCAGAAAATAGACCGTACCATAAATTGGAATATTACTAAAGATGTGATACGAACCACATACGAGACAAAGAAAGTATTTAGCTAAAAAGAGTAAAAAAAATTACTAACCAATAGTTAGACTTAGGTGATCGTTTAGGCTACTAGCCATGACAATAGCAGATAAGTAGAAATAGATAGGTAATGTCACCATTATAAAGCTGTCCATGTGATGAATTGCAACGAGTGTTCTAAACATTTGAGCTAAAGTAAATCGGAAGAAAAGCTTTCATTTTTTCGCTTTCTTGATAAAACATTTACAAGTTTTTGCTCTTAGCATAATAAGCCAATTTTGACAGATATGCGAAACAAGGATTGTTATATCCATGATCGGGATTAGCTATGTGGTTTAACATTTTGTAATATCCATGATTAGGATTAGCTATGTGGTTTAACATTCTGTAATACTTATGATCAGGATTAGCTATGTAGTTTAACATTCTGTAATATTCATGATCAGGATTAGCTATGTAGTTTAACATCTGTAATGCATTTCGAATGCTTCACTAATCCATAACTTCTAGAAAAATTCCGTCTTTCGGAAAGCTTTGGCTTGAATAATAACCAAGAGCTTATGTGGCTTAATAGTTCCTATGGAAAAAAAAAGTACCATTCATAGTATATCCTATCTATATTTACTGAAAAAGAGACAGGAAATTATGTTCTTTTTCTCTACGAAACACAATTACTACACGCTCTTTACTGGCATGGAAAGTCAAAAGCTTTAGGTAAATACTCCATGAAAAACTTTTATTTTGAAGCAATGCATTTGTTCAAAATACTGCGCGAGTCTGATTCATTCACCTGTATAGTATTCTTTCCATTGATTATGTCGTCCATAAAAAAAACTGTTCATCAACTGATTTTATCATAAAAACATCTCTATAGAATAATTCATTCATAAAGGTCAACTTATATAAATTGATTTTATTTGTCTTCTTCATCCTTGTAGCTCAGCGGGCTTATAACACTAAAAGTTGGGCTTCGTTAACAGAGGCGGGTAAAGCATAGATAGCTCACTGTGTAGCCTTGTGTTTAACAACAAACAAACAAAAGTGGTTATATATATGTATTGTGTGCATGCATATATATATATATATATTTGGAGAATTAACTCCATAAGTTGGTTTGTTCATAATAGTCTAGTTATATATAGAGTGATCCATCCATAATAATTTTCATACATTCACAGAGATTAGCTAGCCTGTCAAAAACTGTTCACATAGATAAATTTACATGTTTGGTTTCTCTCTAAAGGTTATCCAATTCATAACCAGCTGTTTCCTAAATTATAAGGATATAAATTTGCTGAATCTTCTGGTAGTTTTGTAATTCATTTATTCTGGTTTATTAATTTATGAAGAGATACTTCTGCTGATTTTCTAATCCATAAGGGCTTATTTCACAGATTCACTGATAAAAAATAGGAGATATTTCTCAGGTTCTTTAATTCATAAGGATATATTTCCATAAAATAGTACATCATACGCAAGAAATGCCAAAGATGGATCGATTCATCATCATTATGATCAGTTTAATTTTTCTCTCTATGTATATATGTATATTATCCACCACTTTAAAATGTATTTTTATGCTATCATCAATATACAGTAACCTTTTCTGTTAATCTTAGATACACATGATTATGTAGAGGCAATCATTGGAAAATATATTTCCAATGCATTGATTCATTCACAAACAAGAAACGTTTTCTATACTTCGTCCATGCAGAAATAAACATAAACTACAACTTGCTACAATGCAAGGGGAAACTTCGGGCATATCCTTTATCAAATTGCGAGGTTGTTGAATTACCATCTGAAATGTTGTTTCAGAGAATAATGGCATGCAAAATCCTCCCTATCACTATATGTTTTTCTATATCTATAAAAAGAAAACGATTTTTTTGCCAATGAATTTTTCAAATATTTTCATTCAATATTCCCAAAACAATACACATAACATTACCAGCATAAACAACCAAGATCTTGGAGTTCTACCAGGAAACAATGTTTTATTCCACCATTAATCAACCAACGCAAGCTTTCAAAACTCAATACTTCTTTAAGGTGTAAATGTTAGATAGGTCAGGTAATATTTTATTTTTTCACAAATAAATAATTATAAAGATTTAGGTAAAGTTTCATAGATAAATTAGTTAACATCAGAATTCGTAGTCATTCTCCAAACAATTGTTGTTCTGATATTACTTAATGATGCGCGATTGTTTCCCGTTTTCGTTTGTCTGTTACGTGCATTTCTCTCCCTCCTCCCCTTTTGCCATTACACATTTTATTCTAAAAATTAAAATACTGGATGAGTAATAACGTAATTCTGAACGTATAAATCCTACCTCTTTCGCTAATGCGTCCAGCTGTGAGTTAATATCATCCAAAACTGGTATCCTCATTTCTAGATCATTGTATTTTGTCTTTAAGAATAATAATTGCTCCTCCACATGCCATAATCTTAAACCACACACAACAGATAGTCCAAGCGAAGCAGTACACAAAATCCAAATCACTACCACTGGTTCGACCCGACATCGTTGCGGCTCCTTTTTAGAATTCAGGGTCACCTCTGTGGCTTGGACGCCGCTTTGAGGAGTGGTCAACTGAAACATGAAACTTTGAGGTTGTTGAGGCATAATACTTGAGTTGGCTGATGAACGTGCCTTCTCATCCCTGCTGTTTTCTGGAGTATTTTTAAAGTTTTTCAGACAAATTTCTTCACGGTTTTCCATGTTGAAGAAATAACAAAGTGCAACAAACACAGAACTTTACGAATTTTGATAATCCACTTGATAACTATTGTTATTTAGACAAACCAAAAACATCTGACGAAATATCAAGAGGTACTCTTTTTGGCGCACTGGCCCAGAGCGAATAGCCTCTTCCCCTTACACCCATGAGACTGGTGCAGCACTTCCAAACAAACTGGCAGCCCGCGTGTTACGACTTACCGTAAAAACCGCACTCTCACGTTCAAACGAAGGCGTGTAAGCGCGATAAGCTATGGGAAGGTATTCTCTCATCTTACATTGTTCAATTGCGTTAACTTTAATGATAAAGCTGGTGCTGCCATCTAGTACACAATATGGCAACATAAAGCAACGCGGTATAGAGGGCACACCTGTATTAGCTAATCCATCATTTGTAAAGAAAATAGAGAAAGAGTAGAATGTTTCCACAGTCAGAGAAAATAAAAATTCAAAATCTTTCAAGAAACTTTACCAAAATTTAAAAAGCAAGACAATTAATAATAATAATAATAAAGCTGTAGAGAACTGCATCATGATAACTACTAACACAATGTTAGACTTCAGTGAACTGCTTTGACTAGGACTAAACCATATAAATAATAAAAATAAAAGCTGTTATGAATTGTTTGTTTGTAATTAAGAACAAAGCTACACAATGGGCTCTCTGTGCTCTGCCCACCACGGGTATCGAAACCCGGATTCCAGCGTTGTAAGTC